CTGCAGGACTAACATTAACACCCCACTAATCTTAACACCCTACTCTCACTGTTTGAAGGCAGAAATTGACAAACTTTTCTCATAAAGTTGTTTTTTCCCCATTTTTTCTCTGTGGTTCTATATTCTTTTTTTTGGAGCAGAGCTTTGCTCTTGTTGCCCAGGCTGGAGTGCAATGGCATGATATTGGCTCACTGCAATATCCACCTCCTTGGTTCAAGCAATTCTCCTGCCTTAGCCTCCCAGGTAGTTGGGATTACAAGCACTTGTCACCATGCCTGGCTAATATTCTTTTGTATTTTTAGTAGAGACGAGGTTTCACCATGTTGGCCAGGGTGGTCTCGAACTCCTGACCTAAGGTGGTCCACCCGCCTCAGCCTCCAAAGGTGCTGGGATTACAGGCATGAGCCACTGTACCTGGCCTCTATACTCTTCATATAAATACATCACACTTGTTTTTCACAGTCTGGCCTCTTCTTCCTCCTGTCCTTTCTTTTCTTTTCTTTCTTTCTCTCTCTCTTTCCTTCTTTTTCTCCTTCCTTCCTTCCTTCCTTCCTCTCCCTCCCCCTGCCTTTCTTTTTTGAGACAGACTTTGGCTTTGTTACCCAGGCTGTAGTGCAGTGGCATGATCTCAGCTCACTGCAACCTCTACCTCTCAGGTTCAAGTGATTCTCGTGCTTCAGCCTCCCAAGTAGCTAGAATTACAGGCATGCACCACCGGGTAATATTTGTATTTTTAGTAGAGATGGGGTTTCGCCATGTTAGCCAGGGTGGTCTCAAACTCCTGGTCTCAAGTAATCTGCCCATCTAAGCCTCCCAGAGTGCTGGGATTACAGGAGGCACACCACCATGCCTGGGTAATTTCTATATTTTTAGCAGAGATGGGGTTTCACTATGTTGCCCAGGCTGGTCTTCGAGTCTTGGCCTCAAGTGATCTGCCTGTCTCGATCTCCAAAAGTTCTAGGATTACAGGCATGTGCCACCATACCCAGCTAATTTTCGTATTTTTATTAGAGACAGCGTTTTGCCATGTTGGTCAGGATGGTCATGAATTCCTGACCTCAGGTGATTCGCCCGCCTTGGCCTCCCAAAGTGCTGAGATTACAGGCTCGAGTCACAGTGCCTGGTCCTATATTTCATTTTGATAAATAAAAAAAGAGGCCCCCTGAGGCAAAAACTTCATAAACAGAAATCGATGAGAAGACCAAAAGCTTTATTCCTGCAACAGAATCTCCAATCTGATGTGCCAGAGATCTGACTGAAAATTATCTCACCATGTGCTCGCCTTGGCAGCACATATGCCAAAATTCTCTATGCTCAAATTCTTCCTAGATAGGCTTATTCAAAAAGTAAAGTGAGAAAGCCAATATTTAAGGGAAGAGGCTCAACTGTGAAAAACAAAATGCTCTCCAAGCCCCCTGCCGGGTAGCGGCTGCCTGTCTTAGGGTCCTCCAGGCCCTGGAGGTCCACCCTGGTTCAAGATGGGGAACCTCTGGTGCCACAAGATCAGATGAATGGGAAGGGGAGGTTGGACTGAGCCTACAAACTATCTTCTCAGGTGCCCCTAAAAGCAGCCTCAGTTTTATCCTCATAAAATCCTTCTAGTCTCAGGAATGTCATCTTGTGCCTGGTAATAGGAGAACACTGCTGTCTGGCTTCTAAGTCTCCGTCATCAAGTCTAGCAATTAAGAGACAGGGAGATGGGAAAAGACAAGGCAGATTTATAAAACAGCAAAAAAGGAAAGAATATGGCGTGTTTTATTTAATGCAGGCAGGCGTGTATAGACACAGAATAAGAAAGAAAATGTGAAGGAACATGGACTTTTAGATGTGAAACTTGGAGTATAAGTCAAATAAAGAGGCTATAAAGCATTTTATTTTCACTATCATTTTTGTAAAAGTGATTTGGGCTTATTAAATAAGTATCTTTGGGGTAAAATCTCCAACTGGGTTTACACTAAAATGCTACAACTTTTATCTTGCCATTAGATTCTACTTGAAATTCCTGAATTTATTTTCACTATCATTTTTGTAAAAGTGATCTGTGCTTATTAAATAAGTATCTTTGGGGTAAAATTTCCAATTGAGTTTATACTAAAACGCTGAAAAGCTGTGACTTTTATCTTTTCATTAGATGCTATTTGAAATTCCTGAATTTATATTCTCTTGGGGATTTTCACATTCTCAAGGATTCAGATATGACAAACTCCATAATGAGAAATTTGGTAAGGAATTCTGTCAAAATCATTCAGTACTCTAGGCCTGTGGAAACATTATCACAATTGGCTTGGGAAGAAGAGACCTCAAAAACGGGACAATCCATATCCTGGTTGTAACCAAGGGAGAGGACCATCTCCTCCAAATCTTGTCATTAGTCAGTCACTGATGGCCTTTTAAAGAAATGAGCAGTTTTACGTGTTTAAATGTGGAATGACACTTTATGCATGCTTATCCCTCACTAAATGGTGTGAGATGAGGAAATACCCAAGACACTGGACTACGGAGTGTGGGTCTTACCATTACTATTCAGAGTCTTCATGATAACTTCCATCTGTGCAAATTCATAGTTATAGTCTGGTTCAGAGGAAGCCTCACTGGCTGCATCCAGGTCATGCTCCGGTGGACCTGTTTCTTTCTCAAAGTCTTTCAACCAATCTCGACGCTTCCTCTTAGGTAAGTTTATTCTGTGGGGTTTTTCACCATTAGAGAAAATCAACTTGTTTTACACTTAAATAGATAACAGAAAAAAAGTGTAAGAAAATATATCACAGAACACAAAGACGTTACCTAAAAAAGTGATTATTTCCCCACAGGATTCGGTCACCATGCCACAGCTGGGTGGTACTACACACAAGGGCGCCGTTCACACAGGACCTGAGAGAACACGAGGGAAAATACCAGGTCAATGGGAAGAAGCAAAAGACCCTGCCCTGGCAGCCAAAGAGATAACTAGGGGAGCTTTCTTTTAATAATAATTGCATTCCAACTACTACTTAAAGAAGGAAGAGCAGAATGTGTAACCACTATGAAAACACACAATCTGATCTATGAAGACCAAGGGCTGCCAACATCCCTCAGAGAGTGATAACCTGACACCATGCACTCCTGATGGAGACAGAAACCACCACCCATAGCCACCCAGCACCCTGGCACCACCCATGGCTATTTTTGTCAAAATTGGAACTGAACCTGATCAAGTTTCCACATTTAAATGCCAATTTACGAAATACAGAGAAGAATAGAGGATATGAAATGATGCCATGGGATGCAGTAAGCAAAATCCTGACTGTGGGACCTCTAGGATCAACAATGAGATGACTTCGGCAAATAAAATACAAAGAAGAAGAGAGAAAGGCAGAGAGACAGAGACAAACACAGAGAGAGAGAGGAGAGAAAGGGGAAACCCATTTGGTAAAAGAGATCTAAAGAGGAATACAATAAAACCATGGTAGGGTCTGATCTGGATCCTAATTTCAAGAAACAGCTGAAAAAGAACGCTGATGAGACAACTGGGGAAATCTGAACACTGACTGGCTATATGATGTTTAGTAAGGAATTACTGTTATTTTAGGTAGGGTGATATTGAAACTATTTTTAAGAATCTTCATCTTTTAGAGAGACATACTGAGATATTTATGGATACAATGTTATAAAATCTGGAATCTGCTTTAAAATATTTTTCCCCCATCTGGAGGTGTTAGTGGGTGCCTATAATCCCAGCTACTTGGGAGGCTGAGGCAGGAGGTTTGCTTGAACCCAGAAGGCAAAGGTTGCAGTAGGCCGAGATCTTGCCACTGCACTCCAGCCGGGGCAACAGAATGAGGCTCTGTCACAAAAAAAATAAAATAAAATAATTTTTTTTTTTTGAGACAGGGTGTTACTCTGGTTGTCCAGGCTAGAGTGCAATTGTGCAATTATGGCTCACTACAGCCTCAACCTCCTGGGCTCAGGTGATCCTCCCACCTCATCCTCCTAAGTAGTTGAGACCAGAGGTGTGCACCACCACACCAGCTAATTTTTTGCAGAGTATGGGATTTCACCATGTTGTTTAGGCTGGTCTTGAATTCCTGGACTCAAGCAATCTGCCCACCTCGACCTCCCAAAGTGCTGGGATTACAGGTGTGAGCCACTGTTCCTGGCCTGCTTTAAAATAATTTGAAGGTAGAGGAAGGAGGAGGAGATATGGAAGACATATAAATAACAAAATTGTCCATGAGGTGTTCATTTTTGAACGTGGAGGATGGGTCCATGCATAGGGTTTCATTATATTTTTCTATTTTCTTTTTTTGAGACAGGGTCTCGCTCTGTAACCCAGGCTAGAGTGCCGTGGCATGATCACGGCTTACTATAGCCTTGACCTTCTGAGCTTGAGTGATCCTCCCACCTCAGCCTTGTAAGTAGCTGGGACTACAGGCATCAACTATCATGCCTGGCTAATTTATTTATTTATTTCTTGTAGAGATGGTATCTCACTATACTGCCTAGGCTGGCCTTGAACTCCTAGGCTTAAGTGATACTCTCGCCTCAGCCTCCCAAAGTGCTGGGATTACAGGTGTGAGCCACCCCACCTAGCCAATTTTCTGGTATTTAAAAATAAAACAGAACACTGGAGGTGGAGGAGATAACTAGTTAATTCAAGGCTAATTTGCCAAAGGACTGTCAGGTAAAGTTTGATGAAAGAAAAATAATGTTATTTTTGAGTTCTAATTTTCTAGTTACTTACTTTTTTCACTTAATCTTATTATCTGACTCCTGATCTTTAAAGGGTTCTAAGGCTCAGAGTTATGGAATAAGTGGAACCAGAACTCGCATATGAAAATAGTCACGACTTCACAGTAATCACTCTCTATAATCAGAAAGCAAGGACCCCTGAGGATCCAGTGCACCCTTAATTTTAATACAGCTGAAAGCAAACAGAAAGAGGCAGCAATCTCCTTCTGAAAATAAGGCACACAAGACACGTGAAGTCACCATGAACTTTTCTTACCTTGCATTTTCTTTTGGAGTAAGAGTGACGTCTCCATCAGATGCAATGTCAATCTCACAGTGCTCAGGCTGAATCCCTATGCCAAAAAGCTGGATATCCTGCGAGGTATCTGCACCCACCCTGGTATGATCCTAGTAAAAGTTTATTAAAAAAAGAAAAACCCACACTATGAGTAACCCAACAAAAATTTATCACAATCAATTTGAATAACTCATCAGCATATGCACAAAAATATTAAATGAATCCTGCCAGAGATGCTAAATATCTTAAGCATTAAAAGTAAAAAGCTTACCCTTAATACACCAAATTTTAAAAAGCATTTAAACACTACCAAAAAGATCCCCAATCAGCAATGATTTCAGAACATAGGAAATTGGACTTGACAGAATACTTTGAGTTTCAATTTTGACCATTTCACTGTCTGAGCCTCAGTTTTGTTGTTGGCAAAACCAGGATAATATTATCTATTTCACCTACTTAGATTTCTTTTAAGGATCATCTGAGTTAACAGTGAAAGTGTTTTGAAAACAGTTACATAAATTTAAGAACTATTAAAAAGCAGTTTCATTGACAGTCATATTTTAAAACATTTAACTTTTAAAATGCTAAACATTTTGAGTTTCTAATACTGATGTTACATAGAGTACTGAGGCCTGTGGATCATACCATGTACAAACTAGTGTGATTTTTTTTCTTGTTTTGGGATGCCTCACTCTGTCACCCAGGCTGAAGTGCAGTGGTGCAATCTCAGCTCACTGCACCCTCTGCCTCCTGGGTTGAAGTGATTCTCTTGTGTAAGCTTCCTGAGCAGCTGGGATTACAGGTATACACCCCCACGTCTGGCTAATGTTTAAGACAGTGGTTTCATCATGTTTGCCAGGCTGGTCTTGAGCTCCTGGCCTCAAGTGATCTGCCTGCCTCGGCCTCTAGGATTACTGGCCTGAGCCACTGTGCCTGGTCTCATGTGATTTTAAGTGTCTGGTATCTCAGACATACAAGAACTGAGACTATTGGTGATTCAGTCACTGCTTATCCCATTTTTTTCTATTTCTCTTAAAATTGCTTAATAACTATAATAATATCTCTCTAGTTGACAGAGAAAGTAGAAGGATTGGTCTTTCAATATTAAGATTTCAGAGATATTGTTTCCCATGATCTATGAAAAGAAAGAAGATAAAAAATAAAAGCAAAACAAAACAAAACAAAACAAACAAAAAAAGATTTCAGAGCTAATTCCTTACCCCTTACTCATTGCCTAAATGAACAGATGCTAAGTTTGCTGGGGGACCTTCAATAACTCAGGGGCTATTTGTACCATATTATGTCTCTAGGAAAAGTAGAAGGGAAAGGATCATAGAAGACTAAGGCTCCTTGCTTCAACACTGGCTTATTCTCCATTGCATTTTATATATTCGCTAGGCAGATCAGAATCCTTAACAAGGTGCCTCACTATTCACAAGGGGGCAATACCTCTGCATTTAGAGATTTAGGTGTGTGGACAGCATATGTAAACTGCCTTTAGGTCCCCACGTCCCCACTCCTTGAAAGTTTGTTTCTGTGACTCAGAAAGAGTGTGTATGTGTGAGGTTAAAAATGCCCTGATGCACTACACACTGGGGTCAGTTGGGGGGACATAGGGGAGGGACGGTGGGGGGTGGGGAGTTGGGGAGAGATAGCAAGGGGAGAGATGCCAGATGCAGGTGATGGGGAGGAAGGCAGCAAATCACACTGCCACTTGTGTACCTATGCAACAATCTTGCATGTTCTTCACATGTACCCCAAAACCTAAAATGCAATAAAATAAATAAATGGGGAAAAAATGCCCTGATGGCTGGCTGAATGCCATATGTCAGTCGTGGTGTCCTACACCAATGTCCATCAGATGTCTTATTTCTCACTTTGCAGAGTAAGCAAGCAGTTCTGAAAGTGTGATCTGAGAACCCCTGGAGCCTCCGAGAACCCTGCAGGAGGCTATGAGGTCAAAATTACTTTAATAGAAACATGAACACGTTGTTTGCCTTTGCTCTCTCATTTTATCATGAGTGTGATGGTAGAGTTTTCCAGAGTCTATGAGACATGTAATGATGTTACAGCCCTGAGGGCTAGGGGTTATATATTTATGTTTGTAGTTTAAAATGTTCTCAGTCTTAGCATCCAATACAGTGAACACAGATATAACCCAGATGCATGAAAGTTCTTTGGAGTCCTTATACTTTTTATGAGTGTAAATGGGTTCTGAAGTCAGAAAATTTGAGAAGCACTATAGTAAGCTATCCAACGTGGCATGTCCTGTAACCACAGAGGCAACAGGGTGGCCACATCCCACCTCTACACTTGAAGGGTGATTATGAGACCAAAAGTTATTTCTTTTTTTTTTTTTTTTTTTTTGAGACGGAGTTTCGCTCTTGTTACCCAGGCTGGAGTGCAATGGTGCGATCTCGGCTCACTGCAACCTCCGCCTCCCGGGTTCAGGCAATTCTCCTGCCCCAGCCTCCTGAGTAGCTGGGATTACAGGCATGCACCACCATGCCCAGCTAATTTTTTGTATTTTTAGTAGAGACGGGGTTTCACCATGTTGACCAGGATGGTCTCGATCTCTTGACCTCGTGATCCACCCGCCTCGGCCTCCCACAGTGCTGGGATTACAGGCTTGAGCCACCGCACCCGGCCAAAAGTTATTTCTTGAGGATATAGGTTTATAAGGGATAGATCTAGAATAACCTTGTTGTTTATTTAATCTAGCATGAGGGTCTGCTTTAGGCTTGTGTTGATCTTGAGATCTCCTTGGAATTACTCAGAAGCATAACTAAGAACCTCCAGAGCTTCTCAGGATCTCTGTGGAAGAACAGAGATATTCCCCAAATCCTTGTCATCTCACACCTAGAGCCTTCTCATATAGGTAGGCATCACGTTGACACCTACTGTTGCCCACTTGTGCCCCTCTGAAGCCTGGACTCACAGGAGATCAGTCCCAACTGCACAGCCCCACATGATGAAAAATAGCTGTTTTTCCTTCTCAGTGGTGATGTGAGGGCACTATCCATCTTCTTACTTTTACTGAGGGCTAAGCTGGATACAAAAAGCAACATCACAGAGACAGGCACCCAGATTCAACTAGGAACTATATAGGAATGAATCTTGATTGCAACTATGTATTTATATATTCTCCTACCTTTAAATAATAAACCAGAAGTTCGTTAAGTGCAGGGTCTGCATTCAGGTTGACTAAGTAGCATTTGTCATCCCCCACCTTGATACCAGACATCTCCAGGGAAATCCCCATGCTTTCAAGTTGTCGTTGTCTTTCCTGTGCACAAAAACAGACAAAAGAAGGAAACTCTATTTGTTGTTCTATTCACAAGATGTATCCATGGAAAGAGCAAGTCACTGTTTCTGGGGACAATGCCAATGGGATTACACATGCTACTCTCCTCAACCACATTTACAGAGTCTACAGTGCATGACATCTTGTGGCAGGAGTGATGGGGTACCAAGGATGAACGAGACACCATTTTGCCTCCTAAGGGGCTTAGAGTCTAGAATAAGGGACAAGACCACAAAACTAGAGGACAAAAGAGGAGAGTGCTGTGCTATTGGAAGAGTACAAAATGCCAGGGGCTGCAAAGGAGAGGGATCGTGATGGATTAAGAGACCAAGAAAGGCTGGAGAAAGAGAATACATCTGAGATAGTTCTTGAAGCATAAGAAGAATTTCAACAGATATATAAGGATAGGGTATTCTTGAGGCAGGACATACGGAAACACAGTAAAGAAAGACTCTGGACATACTAGATGATTTCAGGGGCAAAGAACCTCTGGCAAATATGGGAAAGCAATGGGAGTTGAGGCTAGAAGAGAAGGTTGGGTCTCTACTGCGGAAGGCCTTGTATTCATTCATTCATTCGAGATACATTTATTAGAGTCTACAACATAGTAGTTATTGATCTCAGGCTGCAAATACAGCACTGAATCAAATAAAGTCCTGTCTTTCATGAAAGCTTATATTTTGGTGGGAGAAACAGGATGTAAGAAAGCAGGCAAGTCAATATGGTACATAGAATTTCCAATGGTGTTAAGTAATATGAAGAAACATAAAGCAATGTTAAGAGGATAGTGAGTAAGGATAGGGGTATGTGTGGGTGTGAATGATATCTACAAGAAACATCAGCAGAAGGTTGGACTGGGTTCCAGTGACTGCTGTTAAGCTACTTGATGGAGATGGTCCAATATTTCCAAATGGTCAATGAGATTAAAAATGTTTGTGAAATATATAATGTAGAGAAATTAATGATGCACATAACCCCCGGGGAATTAGTCCTTCCTTTATATCTTAAGCAAAAGTTAAAATATAAACATATAGCATTTCCTAACAAGCCCAAAGAATCAAATACATTACAAAAATTATGATATGCTATATGTTACAAATTCTGTGTCAATTAGGCAGCTTCTTCAGAGGCTGAGGCAGTTGGATCACCTGAGGTCAGGGGTTTCAGACCAGCCTGGCCAACATGGTGAATCCATGTCTCTACTAAAAAAGTACAAAAATTACCCAGGTGTGGTGGCACGTGCCTGTAGTCGTAGCTACTTGGGAGGCTGAGGCAGGAGAATAGCTTGAACCTGGGAGGCGGGGGTTGCAGGAGGCCAAGATCACACCACTGCATTCCAGCCTGGGTGACAAAGCAAGTCTCCATCTCAATCAATCAATAGAACAAAAATTAAAATGAGGTAGCCTCATGCTTTGCCAGGTGATTTTAAAATCACAAAATAAGGCTGACACGGTGACTCACACCTATAATCCCAGCACTTTGGGAGGCCAAGGTGAGTGGATTGCCTGAGCTCAGGAGTTTGAGATCAGCCTGTGAAACCCCATCTCTACTAAAGTACAAAAAAATTAGCCAGGTGTAATGACGCACACCTCTAGTGCCAGCTACTCAGGAGGCTGAGGCAGGAGAACTGCTTGAACCCAGGAGGTGGAGGGTGCAGTGAGCTGAGATCGAGCCACTGCACTCCAGCCTGGGTGACAGAGTGATACTCTCTGGGGGGGAAAAATCACAAAACAGCAAATATGAAGAGCAGAAAATACAAATGATATTTTCTGTAACCATGTCTGTTCAAATTTAGCGCTAACACGTCTGGAAATTTATGGGCCATATTGTACATTGATAAAAAGACATGAAGTCAATGTCTAAAAGTGATGTTTGCTGGACCAGGCACAGTGGCTCACGCCTGCAACCCCAGCACTCTGGGAGGCTGAGACAGAAGAATCATCTGAGCTCAGGAGTTTGAGACCAGCCTGGGCAACAAA